AGAATGTTGTTAATAAAGGTAGTTTTTCTCAAAATACAAAAGTTGTTCAAAAAGCGAATGAGAAAAAAAATGTTAAAGTTTCGAATCCTGTTTAGAAAAATGTTGAAGAGACGAAAGGTTTTCAACATAACAAAATGAATTCACAAAATCATTTTCAGAATAATGGACAAAGGAATTTTTCTCAAAATCGAAAAGTTTTTCAAAAAGATTCTAATTTTGGTTATCAACATCGATATTGAAATCGATTTCAACAACGACCACAAAGCCATCATCTCCAATGAATTTTACGAAAATGAAAAATGTAGCAAAGAAAAATGTATCATTCAAACCTGATGGTCTAAAATTTCCAAATCCTGCTTTGAAGCAAAAGTCGAATGTATCATTTCTCAAAGGAAAAAATGACACTAAAAATCTTAATCATTGGTTGGAGGGAAAATGAAGAAAATTTCAGTCGAAAAAGTATTCTCAAGAACAAGTTCAAGATGCTTATGAAGATTACTTGAACAAATCATTGAACGTAATTACCACTTTTCAAGAATCAGTGTCAAAATGGCAAGAAGTTAAAACAATGAAAGTTGATGTTTCTCAACAAAAGGTTGAAAAAAGAGAAAATCAAAGTTGAACCTTCACCATCGAATGATTACATATCAATGCCTAAAGTTGATGAAGTTGACTTAATCGACAAAATTAAGACCAAAGTTTGTAACTGGATCTTTAGTTCTTCGTTGCATACTACATTCCAAGCTAATGTCCAAGAACCCAAAAGGTCTTGGGGACCTAAATCTCTCTAATTGATTGCATGTTCTATGTGATGAGCAATATGACGAAAACCGATATATCGATAGTAGGTGCTCGCATCACATGACTAGAAGAAAGAAGAATTTGTGAGATTTTCGTAAGTTAGAGAATGTTGGAGTAGTAAAGTTTGGGAACAACCAAAAGTGCAAGGGGAAAGGATATGGGAAAGTTACAAATGGAAAGTTCACCATGAAAAGAGTTGCTTATGTCGAAGGGTTAAAGCACAACCTAATAAGTGTATCTCACCTCGTAGTAGGAACTGGGAACCAAGTGTTTTTCGATGAGGAAGGGAGTGTAATTTCGAACAAAGAAACAAAGGAAGTTTTGTTGAAGTTAAAGAGGAAGGGTGATATGTTCGCTTTGGACATAAAACCTACAGTGGGCATTCCCTCAGATTGCTTACTATCGAAAGCTTAATCTGACCTTAGATGGATTTGGCATCGAAGAGTTTCTCATCTCTAACTTTAAGAATTTAAATAAACCTGTTTTAAATGATCTTGTTCATGGTTTGTCTGTTTTTAAATTTGACAAAGATTCATTATGTGCAGCTTGTGAACAGGGTAAACAACATTGTCAAGGTCATCCAATCATAATTGACTCAAAGATCATTGAACCGTTGGAACTTCTTCACATTGACTTGTGTGGTCCTTCGACTGTTGAGTCTCTCAATATGAAGAAGTACATACTTGTTATTGTTGATGATTTTTCACGATTTACTTGGGTTTTCTTTTTTAGACAGAATTCGGAAAAAGATCAAGTGATGATCAATTTTATCAAAAACATTGAACTAAGTTTGAAGAAGAAACTTTGCAAGATAAAGAAGGCGCAATAATGGATCCGAGTTTAAGAATCGAATTCTAAATTTGTTTTTGACAAATTTGGAAATTTCTCATAACTTTTCATCTCCTTACACACCACATTAAAATGGTGTTGTCGAGAGGAGGAATCGTTCATTGTGCGAAGCAGCTAGGACGATGCTCACATATGCGAATTTGTCTCAATATTTTTAGGCAAAAAGCAGTTTCGGCAGCTTGCTTTATGCAAGATCGTTCATTAAGTCATCGTTGTTTCAACATCACACCAAATGAAATCATTAACAAAATGAAACCTAATGTGAAATTTTTCCATATTTTTGGTTGCAGATGTTTCATAATGAATCTCAAAGATAATCTTTCCAAATGTCAAACGAAAGTTGATGAGGGAATTCTCTTGGGATATTCACACAACTTTGTCGCATATAGGGTGTTGAAGAAGAGAACACAAAAAGTTGAAGAAACATTCAATCTCACATTTTACGATTAAACAAACTTCGAAAACACAAACTCCAATCAAGAAGAGCTGTGACATCGAAAACACAAACTTCAATCAACTTTATTTTCCCATAAATCATCTGAAGTTTGCCTACAGTCAATTCAAGCTTGCTGACAGTTTCTGGCAGTTTTCAGACAAGGGTGTTATACCCGTTTTTGTTCATTAATTTGGTACATATAAAAATCATCACATTCACATTCTATGTTTTGTTCTGTAGCATCACTGAATTTTATCCAATTAAGATTTCGAGAGTACATTCGTTATACTTCAATTTGATAGTGCAGTCACAACTTTCAGTGTATCCAAGCAATTGAAATACCCCAAATTTCTAACATTTTTTAATGTGCAATAACACTAACCTAACCATCACCTATTTATATAGAATATTTAGAGAAGTAAAATGGTCCAAATACGCACACTCCCATTTATAAATCATACTAATCCAACCTAATTCGTCTAATTATGAAATCACATAACACCAACATAACTCTTCATTTATGAAATCAAACAACTCCTACATAGGTCCACAACTTATATATGATACGATTCTTTATGAATTGGAACAAAAAAAGAAGTGAAATCGAAACCAAAAAAAAACAAAATTGAATCGAAAAGAACACAAAGACCATGAAAGCGGCATCATCTAAATCGAGATATAACCAAAAAAAAATATTGTTCCACTCCAAGACTAATTTTGTGCATCTCTGCCATCAACCATCTTAGCAACAATAGAAGGTCTCTCACCAAGAGAGTGTTATTATGCTAACAATCAATTACCCTATCAACTATGGTCATGATACCATCAATATGCCTATTATGAAAAATAATTCTCTTTTCCAAACGAGACAAGGTGATAGAGGTGCACAAACTGAACCGGTTTTTTCCTAAAATCAGATTATTAATCGATTTAAAAAATGATTTTTTTAACAGTACAGCAGTTTTTTCCGGTTATTACCGTTGAGCTCAATTTCTTGAAAAAACCAGTCACATGACGCTAATAGAGTCGTTTCCAACTATTTTCATCCCCAAAATTACTTTATTGGACCTCTAATGTTAGTATAAATAGGTATTAATTGTATTGGTTTCAACACATTATAAAAAAAGCTTCTCTGTTCTCAATGTTATTCGCATTCTCGACTACTTTCTTTGAATTCAAAACTCAATACGGCACCCTCACAAGCTTTTGTTTCCTTTTCCGTTGGTAGTATCGGTGTAACCGGCTCCAAAATTTATACAAATGACGACATAGTGGAAATTAAACCAACTTCTTGAAACTTGGAACTTTGGTGTAATTTCGACTATTGCATTATGAAAAATGGAGAAGAAAATACTTGTTACAAGAAATGTGAGATGTTTTATAATGTTGTCGTAAACACGAATATTTAAGGATCATAAAAATGGTGCTTGCAAAGTGGTGAAAGAAGGCAATATCGATACGCCGCAAAGTAATATCGAAACGGACGATGCTTTATTTATTTAGAGGTAAGTCTTTTGGATAAAAACAAATCGTGAGTAGGCCAAAAGGTTTTCGAAGCCAAAATTATCAGCAAAATAAGACTAGAATTCGAGTTTCAACCTACTAGGTTGAGTCACCCATTCACCATAAATCATAATTCCCTGAATGGCATTCTTTGGTCCATGTAAAGAATAATATGGTAGCTTGGAGGTGTTGTATCATTAATCAAATAGAGGGTCGAGTCAACATCATGGAATCTCACATAAGGGTGACATTGGATCACAAGCTTCATAAATGTTAATTGCAGAGTGTCATTATCATACACAACCAACATGTCACTCTCACTTATACGTGTTTGTTTTGAATTGAAAGAAGCTATCACAAAATTCTTTCTCAATGTCGTGTTTCCAGTAGGTTCATAAAAAACAACACATCTTTTTAGTCCCTTTTATCTGGTGATTATCCCGCAACAAATCAAACTCACAACAAACCGATGGGTTTAGATTGCATTTAAGAGCTTTGACCATATCATCTTCCAATAGTATTAACGAAAGTGGAAGTCTATAAGGATACCATTGTGAGAGAAGAAGTTTGCAATCTAGAGTATTGCAAAAAAAAAAAAAAAAAAAAAAAAAGTCAAGAATAGAGAGCATTGTTAACGGTGTGTTGAAATCAATTAAATCAAAACATATATATACCAAAAGTCACAAAAAGATAAGATTTCTTGACTTTTAAAAACTCTATCATTTTGTTCTTGACAAAAAGTTATTTTCAAAATGACTTTTTTATTTGCCAAACAACTTTTTGAATTTTTTGACTTTTTGAAAAAAGCCAAAAGCCAAAAAAATCATTTAAAAACAATCTCAAACACCCTCCAAGTCTAAAGGTATAGGGCGGGCGAAGCGCGAAGGGGATGGATGTCTGAGCGGTTGAAAGAGTCGGTCTTGAAAACCGAAGTATTGATAGGAATACCGGAGGTTCGAATCCCTCTCCATCCGCGAGGTCATAAGTTCTCTCTTGCAGTCTAAAGGGGGAAATTATGATTTTGGGGCTTCAAACCGCTTATAAACAACCAATTTCTGCTTTTTATTTCCATTGGGCTGAAAAATTAGTGTAAAAATCCGGTAAGCGGGTTTTCGGATGATCCATGTGCAATCCAACATATAGGATTGATCCAATATGATATTCCAAAACACGAAATATGAAAACAATAATAATTGTTGAGGATAGACTATAGAGAGGACCCAATCGGGCTTTTCTAATTTGGGCTGAAGCCATATTGGTCATAAATCTTCTACCCTCTAGGACCCAATCGGGCATTGTCCCTTCGTTTTGACTAATTGGGCCAACCTAAGTACTCCTAATGGGCCTCGAACCAAATATCTAAATCTATTTAAATCATCACCAACTTATTACGTTAAATAAACGAAAAAAGTCAAACAACTTAGCACCATAAATATATTAAAAATAAAACAAAACATTTAGATACAATTATTTCACCAAAGATATTATATATCATTGCATCAACAAAACTTAAATCATAAAAAAGATAAAACTATTTCCCTAAAAATACATTCTTCTCTAACACCTACCACCTAAACAATTCCTTTTCACCATATTTCACTCTCTTTTTTTTTCTTTCATTTATTTCTATCATCCAAAACAATACAACAATAGTAGTAGTAAAACTCATCATCATCATCTAAATTAATTCACTAACAAGTCAGCTTTCACTATATAACAACAACAAATTACAAACACTACGCCGTGTGGGTCCCGCTTCCTCTGCATACCAAAATCAAAATAACGTAAACAAATTTTCAATAATAAAATACTTTAATAAATAAATTGAAAATTGTTACCTTAAACGAATTTAGGAGTTATTATTAACAAACAATGTGTCTTGAGTAAATTCACCAAATATATTAGGGCAATCTTCCCAATATTGTTCTTCTCTTTTTTCCCAATAGCCGCCTACGTATTTGTAGGTCCCATCTTCCCCATCTTTTTCAAACCACCTAGGCTTCCATCCGTTTTCTTGTAATTTTCTCGACTACAAAATCACCAAATACACTTTTTAATAATATTCGTTATACAACTCAAAAAGTCCAAAATACCCATCGAATATGAAGCATACCATTCTTTGCCTTGTCTCCAATCGTAATTTCTCAGAATTTGCCATGTCATATTCGCCATTCTCCAAATGCCTTTGATCTGGTCTAAGTCTTGAATCCGTTGGTGGAAGTTTCTCCTTTAAAAACAAAATACCCAAAATCAGATATAAAAAAAAAATACATACACAATTAATAGTTGAATGAATGTATCATATTTTTTTTTTTTACCTTGAGTCCTGGTGTTAACTCGTTCAATGTGATAGCGAATGAAGTTAAATTATAACGAGTAAGATTGACAGGTGGCATAGTCCTTTTCCACAAAAGATTTTCATCTCCCATTATATCTTTTGTTTTACTTGTTCCCTCTCCAATTGTGTAATAAATACTATTGTCCCATTTTCCAAATATCGTAGCGTGTTTTTTACCACTTGAATCTTCAATAACCCCATGAACCTATTCAAAACATATAAATGTTAAATTTTTTTTTTTTTATAAATAAAATGTGAGAATAGAATAGAATAGATTTATTTAATTTAATTACCTGGTGAGGATTCCTATCAAGAAGAGACTGTTCTTTAAATCTAAGCTTGCAAGATAATTCTCTATTACCAACTATATGCATAAGTCCATGATGATCACAATATACTTTTCCCAAAATAAGATTATAAATACTTGTTGTCACCTGTATTACATAAAAACAAACAATTACTGTATTTAAAAAGGGTTCAAATTTTCATAAATGGTCCCTACTAATTTTTAATATCAAGGATGGTCCCTGTCCCTGTGGTTTGAAAACTTTTAATCATCTTTTACATACCACAGGGACCATTTATGAAACTTTTTGATTTTTGACCACAAGGGCAAAATCGTCTTTTTTACATACCTTACTCCAATGGAAAACTTCACCATCATCAAACTCAAGGGTCAAAAGTCCAACAGGGTCAAGCTGAATTGATCTCCCCCAAAATTTTGTTCTTATGTTGCTGTCCCCCCAAAATTTCCATCCTCTACCCTCACAGTGACAGGCTATCAGGGTAGGATGATGGCTCACCTGTCATGTCAGGGTAATTTAGTAATTTACAAACAAAAAAAAAAAAAAAAAAAACTTTTTTCTTTATATGTCGATTTAATTTCATTTAGTTTTTTAATTGAAACATACGGAATGTATAAACAAGATTCAAGTAGGAAATACAACAAACCTTTTCAGAAAAGAATCGAACGCCTTTTTCAGGGTAATCAGCTTCATAAGTTTCCCCTAATAAAGGATTAAAAGGTTTACAATGTCTTCCTTCAGAAGAAGCATAACCAGAAACTGCAAATGCTGCAACATTCAAGAGTCTTTGAAGACTATTGCCCTAGGACAAAAACACAACAGATTAATTTTCTATTTTCCACCACGTTTTTCATTTTTTTTTAAACAAATAAATTATACCTCTTTTCCATACTCATATGCACGATCGAGAAGGTAAGAGTATTCAAGATCTTCAAAACACTTTTGGAGAGATGAAATAGGCTCATTGAAATAAACAGGTAGACATACACGTGTCAGATCTTTTCCAACATTGTCTTTAATCATTGACCATAAACTTACACCTTTTTCTTTCTCAATTGGATCTGGAAGCTTCTTTCTTCTTTCAAATTTCAATTGTTTGGTGTTTCTTTCATCCATGAATTCAGATTGGTTTTCTATAATTTGTCCAGAAAAATGATCTTTTGTGTCAAAAAAGTAACTTTCTTCTTCCTCTGAAGCTTCCTCAAGCTCTTGTTTTTCAACATCATCCGATGATTCAGTTGTACTCCATTCTGAATATTATCAAGGGTAAAAATGACAATATGGTAAAAACTAAAACTGACTGAATTAGAAAAAAAAACTTACCACTGTATTTTCCACGTTGAATATCTGATAACTCGTGTTGTGTTAATTGATATTCGCCTTCAGGAACTCCAGAGGGTTCGGTTTCTAAATTAGCAGCCTGATAGATTCACATAGTGATATTAATGTAAATCAAGATTTCAAATTACAAATAAATTCAACATTTTTAACCCAAAAAAAAAAAAGGAAGAAAATTTACCTCTAGTTGCCTCAAGGTGTCGAGCAAACTGGAACGTTCTTCACAAAGAACTCTAACTTGGCCTTGAATTTCTGAAAATTCTGTGAGCATAATCTGCTCACAGTCTTTAACAAGTACTTCACTTGTACCTTCTTCAAGTAAACGTTGCTTTAACTTTTCAGTTGATAATGATATATCAGTTTGTACAATGGATAATTTGTCATTTAATCTTCTTAAAGAAAACAGATTTCTAGCAGATGCTAAAGCTTCAATCCAAGCAACTCTTTCTTCCTTCAAACTAGTCCTCAAATGAAGTGTTTTTGTAGCAGTGAATATGTAAAAGCGTCTACTATCTGATCTGCTCTCTCGAAATGATGAGATCTGTAAAAAATATATATACGAAAATTACCACATTGTGATTGGTTTATAAAATCCGAAAAGAAAGCAAAATAACAGAATAACAGAATCGAGATCATTAAGATGCAGTTTTTAGTTTTTACCCTAAAACAGAATACGACAGAACGATGAGAAAATTGGTGGAGAAGACAATAATTTATTGGGAAAGAGTGTTCGACATGGATTTGAATTAAGATCGTCAGATCAAGTAAAAGAACACGACAGAAAAATGTGCAAACAGTGAAACGGATCCTTTGTGTAGTCAACTCCACCTTTAATTAACCAAATAAAAAACTTATTTGGGGAAAAAGATGTGATCTAGAACAAAATTCCAGTCGATGAACTTGGACGAAATTGAAAATAACTTAGTGAAAAAAGCGGAATAGTGAAGAGTTTATATGAACGTGTAGTCATAGTAAGAATAGTCAAATGAAAGAGACAGGCAAAAAGCTCACCACAAGACAAGATCCAGATGAAATGAGGGTATGAAATAGAAGGACAAAGCAAAAACACATCCAGATTTTGATCAAATAAGCACAAAATGGGGTGCTAGTGTCACACTAATAGATAAAGGGGTAGGCCTGCTATACAGAGGGTAAACCCATTGGATTGGATAGCCACTTTGTGTGGCCCTCTTGACGTGACCCCAAGATCCAGTCCTTTAGTCCTTTTTATTTTGTTTCATATACCCATTTTGATAAATCATTCTGATTTCATGAGTAATCAAAATTCAAACTTATGTGTGAATGTAAATGTAATGTAGGTTTAAGTTGTGATCAATGGAGGTGAGCTCGGAAATCGAGAAAAATCGGAGTACGTTTTCTGGTTCAATTTATTGCAGTTTGAGGGAAGAAGTTTTTCACCTGAAGATTGGGAACATTTTCCTAGAACAAGAGGTTTAACAGTATTTTTTTTTCTCTCTGAGAAAAAATTGATAACCCTTATTTGTTTAATTTGTGTTTATCAGTCAGTTGATGGATTGATTACCTTGAGATGAACGATTCCGACGGTTTTCTGATGCTTATTGCGTCTGGTGCCAGAACTATTAAGACGTTTGAGTCTTCCGGAAGATACATCGCCGATGAATCTAACGTCATCAGCGGCGATGAGGCTTTCTGGCCGGAGGATCTTCGAGTAAGAGAGGACGCCGTTCCGTAAAAGAAACCACCTGGATCTCCATCCTTTACCGTAGTTAGTCCATTTGTAGAGGACGCCGGCGAAGCTGCTACTTCCGGAGCCGGAATCAGATCCAGAAGAAGGCCATCCAATGGCATTGGGATCGGATCTCATGTCGGCAACAGAACAAGACCTCGACAACGTCGGCATCGGCTCCGGTGAGTTGTCTCCGATCGCTGAACTCTCCAGCGATATGCAACAGAGCGGATACATTTCCTTCACTCGCATTCCGTTAATCCGGTGAACTCCCGTGGCACAAAAAAACCCCGTCAAAACCTGATCAAATCGCCATCTATACATCAACAAACACAAAATCGCAAATCACAAAACTAATCACTTCATAAATCAATCAATACGCAGGACAACAGTCACGCATACATAAACAAAACAATCTTGTAGATATACATACAGAGATGATGCAAGATTGCGGAGGAGATGCCACAAAACTTAGAGAGAGAAAGGATTGAAAGACAAATTCAAGTAAAAAAAGGAGGCCTTGGGTGTTATTACACCATTATTATAGTATTATAAATATATATGGATACAGAGAGGATGAATGGCAAAAGGGTCATTTCAAGAAGACCACCATGGAAGTAGAGTTTCGGTAGAACTATAAGTTTAGAAAAGAAGAGACTTCATTTTCTGTCAAACTCTCACCCAGATGAGAGAGAAACAGAGGTACATGCAGATACAAAATATATATATATATATATATATATATATATATATATATTAGTTTAAACTTTTAAACTATTAGTTTAAACCACTCTTACAAAATCAATTAAACTTTTATACTAAAAACTCAAAATTATTAATTACTTATTTTAAATAAATTATTAATTAAGAAATTTTTTTAGTTATATAAAATTATAATCATTGATTTAAATAAATATATAAAATTACATCACTTTATCATTTGTATTAATTTTATTTTAATTTTTATTCTAATGTTATTAATTTAATATAATTGAAGTGGAAAATTTAAAATTTGAAAATTGAAATGGAGATCAATAGGTTGATAAGTGGCATACATTAGTTAGGAGACATAATAGGATGACACACGGCAAAAAAAGAATAAAATATTTATTAATTAGGAGATTTAATATGGTGACACGTGTCAAAAAAAAAGTAAAACTATTTTTATTATTAATATTATTATTATTATTATATATATATATATATATATATATATATATATATATATATAACGGCAAATAGTTTTTTTGACATATAGATTCTTACAGGAAAATAATTATTAAACTCTATTATTACTTATTATGAAATAAATTATTACCAATTTTAAGTAAAATATTTATCGTTATAACTTATATATATAGTGTTTGTTTGTATTATTAATGTAAATTAATTAATATAGATATTATGTTGAAGAATTATAAATTAATTTATATAAATGAATTTAATATTTTAAAATTTTTATTTTACTCCAAATTAAATTTCTTAATTATTTGTTTAATTTAATTGTGCAACTTTTGGCAAGTATTAATAAATTATTTATGTATATTTGATTTGTACAAAAAACTCTATAGTTTATACATTTTAAAATTCAAGACATGACTAATATATATATATATATATATATATATATATATATATATATATGATGAGGTTCAATAGAGAACCATAATTGACCAAGGAATTAAGGAACCAATCTTTTTTTCAACTTTTAGAACTTATTTTTTATCAAAAAAAAAACTAAAAATACAGAAATTCATAACTTTTTATCCTTTTTTCAATGATATCAAATTCGATTTTTTTTACGTCAAATTCACAATGTGAATCCGGATTCACACGGTGAATCCGAAAAATATTTTTCACATTCACAATGTTAATATATGAATTTAGATATTTTTAGATTTTTTTTTCGATAAAGAATAAGCTCTAGAAATTGAAAAATAGATTTGGTTCCTTGAAGAACCAATAATTATGGTTCTCTATTGAGCTATTAAATATATATATATATATATATATATATATATATATATATATATATGTATAATTACAAAAATGGTCCCTATGGTTGGCAAAATCATGCATTTTGATCCAAAAAGTTTTGATGATGCATAGATGGTCCAAAAGTGAATATTTATACAAGTTTTGGTCCCTCTAGCTAATAACCGTTAGAATGGTCTGTTAGAGGGCAAAACCTAGAGGGGTAATTTCGTATTTCTGCTTGGGTTCTTTCATAGGGACAATATAAAAAAAAACTTTGTGCGTCTCTAATTGAAACCATCGTCGCTGCTCCAGCCTCTCTACTAAACCCTTGCTCTGTTACACACAAAAAAACCTAATCGATCAAAGCTACTTGTACGCTTGATCCTCAAAGAGGATTAATAAACAGTGAGTGTTGCTCATCGTGTTTATAATGTGGGAAGTTAGGGATGACAATGTCGATTTTTATCCAAACACAATATATGGCAATGTATTATCTTTCTCGTTTATATTTAACCCCTGAAATCGTTTATATGTTGAAGTTATTTATATTTAACCTTTGAAATCGTTTATATGTATTATAAAATCATTTATATGTTTAAATCGCATATATGTATTCTGAAATCGTTAATATTATGAAACTATTTTCGTGTGTTAAATGTACTCTTTATCTCCGATATTTTCATGCAGACACCTTATATCGTAATGTACAGGGGATACAGTTCAAGATTTTGATCCCCTTTTCGGGAAGAGCCATATTATGCAACAATTGATGATGTTGAAAGTAAAGCAGGATGTAATGAAAACGGGGGAAATGGTTCACAAATAGGTGAAAGGGGTTAGGATGACAGTCATTATTTAGAAGATGAAGAAAATTATGTGAGTGATGTGGAGGTGGATTGTAACGACCGTCATTTGAGGTATTAACTATTAAATATTTCTTAAATTATTATTGGGCTAAATATGTATAAAAATGACTATTGGAGTGGACTTAAGCAAGTGATCCAAGGATTTGGGCCGCCCATAAGACGTACGTTGGGCGTAGCCTTGGTGTACGCGGGGCGTAGAGGCGCATTGGATGCGGGGGACGCATGCACTTACGCGCATCGTACGTGAGCAGATTCCAAAACCCTAATTTTTAGGGTTTAAGACATATAAATACCCCATTATAGCTCAACCCTGGCCTCCTTACCAGCCCCTCACCCTCAGAAACCCTAAATATCCTCTCTTACTCCATTCTTGTGTGTGTTTGGCATTTTGAAGCTTAGTTTGGTGAAGAAGAGCTTGGAAGAAGAGAAGAGAAATTGGAGAATAAGAACTTGAGTATCTTGAGCTCAAGGATCTGGGATTATCTCATCTTTTGGCACTCAAAGGAGGTATAAAGATGCCAACATTCTTCATTTATGCTTAGATCTAGAGTAGAGATGCTTTGGATCTTTTTAGTCCCAAAAATGGAACGTTATGACTAAAACTCGTTTCTAGGTCTAGGGTTGCCACCCTTACTGACATATGAGTTCCCTAAGCAGTAAAGTTTCAATCTTTAAGGTCCATTTGTGACCAATATGAGATCTAGCCATTTCCATGGAAATTTATTGTTATTTTTCCAAGTTGGGTTCATTTGGTGGGTTACAAGCCACCAAGTAACCAACTTTATGGATTAAGACGTTGAAGAAGACTTGAATCTGTGATTGTAGCCTCTAGAGTATAGTATTAAGTGCTTAATGGGAAAAGTGGCTTAACAGGGCAGTACGTTGGGCGTACCAGCTAGTACGCGCAGCGTACAAGCTACACAGCAGGTACGCGCTGCGTACAGAGGAGTACGCCCCGCGTGCTCATCCGACTTGGGCTTTTCATCTTTTGGGCCTCGGTTTGGGCCAACTGTTGGACTTATCTGCTACTGGGCCTTAGTGGGCCATCAGAAGTTAGATCTTGGACTAAGGACATGGTTGGGCTTAGGGAAGGCCCATTTGGGAGGTTGGGCCCAATTTATAAAATTGGGCCATTAGTGGGCCTTTAATGGACCATTAGTGTACTTAGAAAGATTAGATGGAATTGGGCCTTGATTATGGTCCAAATCAGAGCAGGGGTAAAATGGTCATTTTACCCTTAGAAGGATTCTCAGTTTGTCTGGCTAAGTATTTTTGTATAGAGTTAGCCGGGGAGTCGTGGGAGCAGCCAGCAGAGACTCCTCACGCACGAGTTCAGCATCCAGTTTGAGAGGTGAGTTTTCCCCCAGTAGGAACGGGTCTAAGGCCACAATGTCGGACCGTTTAGTTGTTAGTAGTTCCGGACTTCGGTCCGATGCCGGGGCGGTCCCGAGAAGAGTATATGTATGCTTGATGTCTTTGTGATTCATGCATGTTATGTGTTTTGTGTTCCGGGGCAAGCCCGATGTATGTTAGTGTATTTGTTATGTGTTATGTGTTCCTGGGTAAGCCCAATGTCGGGGCAAGCCCGATGCATGTTAGTTTATATATTATATGTTATGTGTTACGGGCTTCGGTTTGATGTCGGGGTATGCCCGATGTATGTTATATACTTATGTTATGTGTTTATGATAGATGTTATGATGTGTATATGTCGGGGTAAGCCCATTCTGGGGTGAGCCCCGATGCCAGACGTGGTTTGATGCCGGGGTGAGCCCGATGTCGGGTAGGAGTCCGATGTCGGGTAAGCCGCTATTGGGTTCGTCCCGATGTAGCTGGGCGGTGTCCCAAAGTTTATGTTACATGTTATATGTTATGTGTATGGTATGTGGTAGTTTGGGGGAGCTTACTAAGCTTCGTGCTTACAGTTTTCAGTTTGGTTTCAGGTACTTCAGCTAGCAAAGGGAAGGGCTCGGGATGATCGCATGGCACACACCACAGTTTTCTATCCTGGGAGATTTACTCTGATATTTGATATGAGATTTTGATATGTTGACAGATATTACGATATTTTTAGATACATGGTTTATGATTTTATATGATTATGATGATATCTATGGTTTTATTAGTGATTTAAAAACGAAATTTTTGGACCATATTTTTGGGATGTTTCAAGTTTGTATCAGAGCCTTGGTTTGAGGGATTCAGGCACACTTTCGGGTATGTCTGAACTCAAATTAAGGAATTGGTATAGAAGTTTTCAAAAGAAAACCCATGTTTATTTTTGAGAAAAGAAAAGAGTTTTAGAAAAAGCAAAAAGAATTTTGAAAATGAGAAAAGGGTGTGGTGCATGCAATCAGCCGAGCTCAAGTAAGTACTCCCAAATTACCTATACAAGTTTATGTTATGATATGATTATCATCTTTACGAGAACAACATGCTAGATTAGGACTAAGGATCTTGGAAAGATGCCTTTTGTGCCTGTTATATGTGTATCAGCTTTATAAACTGCATGCTAGTACAGATTAGTCAGTATGATAGCCTAATTAGTATATGCTTGATTATGTGTACTCAATGCTCGAATGTTGCTTGCTTTGTGCTTTAAGGAGTTCTAGCTATCTTTTACTAACTAGTAAACGAATATCTTAAGTTACATATTGCAAGGACTAAATCATTTTAGTAGGTTAGGTCTAACTCTATTTTGCAGCTCTTGTTTGAGTCCAACCATTGCAGGGTAGGATCTCTCATTCGAAGAATTATCTAGTTTGAGTGATATGTAATAGTATCCACGAGCTAGTTAGGGAAAGAAAGCAGGGACTTCTTATGCAGCTAATGGCGGAGAGTGAGATGTTGATTACCCTAGGGCAAGCCTAGGATGAGTTAGCATGAGATCAGTAGTAGTGGTAGAAGGGACTTGGTGGAGTCGAGGCAGTTCTTGAGGAAAGTACAAATAGATGTGGAAGGTAGTATGGGCCCGTACTACTGAAAGCAGAAGATCCGTACTCAAATCAAGGAAGGCTTAGATGAATCCAGGAAACTTGTAGTGCATTAGATCCCTCGATATATGATGAGTATACTGATGTTTATTATGGTGTATTTTCAGTATTGTGACGCTACGCACTAGGTCGATTGGCACTTCAGGCACTGGCGAGGGATCTAATACGTCATTATAAAACCAACAGTATACGAAAGCATCCATAATAACATATCATGTCAAAACCAGTACGTCAATAATCAAAGCATGTCGTCATAAAACCATATCAGAGTAAAATCCCAAAGATCTCATGTGCGGAAAACATAGTGTGATGCGCTGCGATCGCCGGCTCCTTTCCTTTGAAAACGAAGTACCTGAAACCAAAACTGAAAATCGTAAGCACGGAACTTAGTGAGTTCCCCCATCATACCATATACCATACATAACACATACTGCCTAGCATATCTGGGTGCTGGCCTACCCCCTTCGGTCTCTTTCGATCGGATACTATCTAGCATATAAACACATACTCGCATATTGTCATACATAACCATGAGCCATACATATATCATAATCAGTAAAGATACTATGTGCCAAACATAGTCTTGCCATTATGCCATGGGCCGCCACGTGGTCTTTCTTGCCAAGCCGGGGGCCACCCCCCTCGGTCTCACAGACAAGTGCCAAGAGTCACCTCCTGGTCTTCCATGCAAGCATCACAAAGACAACTAGCATACATACTACTCTACTTAGCTAATCAGCATATAGTGTGCCAGGAGCCACCTCCTGGTCTTTAATACATAATAGCATACAGTGCGCCAGGAGCCACCTCCTGGTCTTTCATACATATTGCCTAGGGCTAACCCCCGCGTCTTCCTACCATACATAATAACATACTGTGTGCCAGGAGCCGCCTCCTGGTCTTTCATGCATAATGCCTAGGGCTAACCCCCGGGTCTTCCTATCATACATAAACTAAATGGGCCGGCATTGGTGCCTTAGACCCATACAAATAGTGAGGAGACTCACCTCACACTGCTGAAGTCCCGCGGATAAAGCTGTGGCTGCTGGCTGACAGATTCCCGAATCTGCCAACATCAAAACAACACCCAATTAATAATTGGGTTCCAAACATAACCATAAGTCCATGCTTGGGGGTAAAAGACTACTCTACCCCTAACTTGGCTTGATTCAAGCCCAAAGCCCAAACCAAAGGCCCAAAAGTCCAACTATGGCTCAAGGCCCAACATATGACCCATTTTCCAAATTGGGCCCAAGCCTTCACATGGTCTCATTCTAAGGCCCAACCATTTATTCCAGTCCAACAAATGACATTCTAATGGCCCAATATTATATAATCATAAAGGCCCAAACTATGGCCCATCTATGGCTCAGTTTTCCAAATTAGGCCCAACTCCTCATATGGGCCTTACCTCAAAGCCCATTAATTATTCTAGTCCATTTGCTTGATCTTGGATGGCCCATTAATAACCCAATCATGAAAGCCCAATAGAAAGGGCTAACTATAGACCCAAGTGAAATTAGGGTTTCACATAAAATGACGATTAGGGTTAAGTGTTTCTCACTTAACCCATTAAGGACTTAATCCACTACGTCTATCACTCTTCTAAATAAATCATATGGTGTGATTGGGCTTAATACACAATTGTCTTTATGACAATTCGTCAAGCCCGATTCCATTTCAAATGGCCCAAATGTGGGTCCCAATAAGTCCAAGCCCATAAATCCAATATTAGGGTTTTCTAAACCCTAATTAGGGTTTCCAACCTTAGCCTAATAGGCCCAATATCTAGGTCTTTTGATCAATAGGGTTCATTAGGCCCATTAGGGTTTTAGTCCCTCTGTCCAAACATCCAAACGAGTCACAAACAAAACAAGGTAAACCGCCACCCGACA